TGAGTATACAAATATGCGATTGTTGAGTTGAGATGAAACATCAATGTTGCTGGAGCGCGTTTACACTGATGGCCAAATGCGAGTCGAAAGCGGGTGACAGATTTGCCCGTTTCGACTATAGAGCTGCAACTGTGGATCATTCGACAAATGGACAAAGTTGTCGCCCGCCGTTAGCGCTATCTCGTGATAAAAGGGTGGTACTCGGCAACCGTTGGCAACATCGTGTCCACTTCAAGAACAGCAAAAAAGTTGCCAAGCGACGACAAAAATCTCAGTATCAAAAGCAAGCGCATCCGACATGGATCATTTTTCATTTTCTTCCATGGCGACTCCATCCACGTCCCGTGCTGCGTACGACGTTCTCACGCTCCCGAGTCTCGCGACCATCATCTTCGCCTATCAAGGCACTGGCGTCTCCACGTCACTCGCGCTGGCATTCCAGAAGCACAAGACAGTGCTTCGGCAACTCTTCTCACGGCCCACGAACGTACATGTGGAGATCTTCCGCGGCTACGTCCTGTGCAAGCTTATTGCTGCCAAGGAGGTCCAGTTGGCCCTCGAGCTACTGGCCGCGTTTCCGGAGCGCGACATGCTCGCACTGCCACCAACCAACAAAAAGTACGTCTACACAATCGACAACGCCGTGCGCCTGCAAAGCGTTCCGCTGCTGACAAAGCTGCTTGAGCGGGACTTTGGCAAAAGCTCGAAAGCCGCGATGGACGCGGCGGCGACGGACGGCAACTTGGTCATGGTGCAGCTGTTGCACGAGTACCGCGACGACGGCTGCACGTACAACGCGTTTGCAGCCGCCAAACAAAATGAGGATAGCCACCTCTTGGCATTTCTTCGACAGGCACGTCCTCGCGATGAGCGAGTTCCCGGCCCTGTCAAGTTTGAACCCAGCGACGTCGCCTTGGGAGCAGCCATAGTGTGCACAATTCAATAAATAAAAGTACTCTGACGTATCCCTTTTGTTCATCGATGGACCCAAACGTAGTACTAGTTTGCACGCCCTTCGTACTGCCAGGATTTGAAATCTCAATGGTAGAACCTTTACGTGCGGGGGTTACAAGGTAGTACCAGGACATGGTACACGGCATGCTCGTGTGCACTTATCTCTTGCTTGATCCACCTCATACACTTGAGTAACTCCGTGGAACCTTTGAGGTGGCTCCTTGTGGTTTGGAAACAGCATGCAACGTATGACAAGCGTTTGATTGGTTGAATAAATCTCGATTATTGACCAATCATTTCAATGCTACTGTGTGGCAACACGGAGCGGGTGCCAGAATTGCGCCGCCAACGCGTCCAAAAATGAAATCGCTCAAACTCGGTTCCATGATAGACAACAGCTTGGAGACCTCAAGACACGACGTCGCGTCAGTGGGCGAGGCGTACAGCACGAGCAATGTCCTTCCTTACTAAATGTGGCGCACGCCATTTGTAGCCACAAATGACCACATCTTTAAGGAGAAACTAACCAGATTCAACCAGTCGCTCTCTATTGTTGATAAGGAGTTTCTCCAATATCCGGAGGCAAGACAGGCAGCTGCGTCGGTGCAAAAGATATCTCGACCGGCCATGGCCCGCGCCCCGGCCGACCGCTGCCATGCGGGGTACCTCGTGCTCTTCCTCATGGGCGTCGCCGCCCTTCTGCCGTGGAACGTCTTCATCACGGCGGACGGCTACTTTGGCCAGCGCCTCGCCGGTACGCCGGTCGCGACCTCGTTCTTGACCTACTTCTCGATGGCTTTCAACCTCACCGCCCTCGGCGTGCTCACGCTCAACACCGTGTGCTTCCGGAGTTACCTTCCGCGGCCGTCGGTCAAGATCACGGTTGCGCTGGTGGGCATTGCGCTCGTCGTCTTCCTCTCGACGGTCCTCGTCAAGACACCGTCCATCCAAGGTACTCTTCGCTTTCGCTTGTATCTTGAGATTGCAATGTAGGGATGGTCTTCTTCAACATGACGATGACGAGCATCGTTGTCGCGTCCATTTGCGCCGCGTACCTCCAGGAAGGCCTCTTTGAGCTCACGGCCACGTTCCCGGAACGCTACACTCAGGCCATCATGACGGGGCAGAGCCTCGCGGGCTTCCTCGTCTCGCTCAGCGCCTTTTGCATCGCGTACCTCCACCTCAACCCTACGACATTTCAAATGGCGTGGTATGTCGGCGACGACGCCACCGAGAGCGCGTTCTCGTACTTTCTCACAGCCTTTGTGACGATCGCGCTGGCCATGCTCGCGTTTGCCGCCTTCCTCAAGTCGCCTGTCGCCCGCTTCTACATGGCGCCGCCCTCCAACGGCGTCGTCGCGTCCCTAGAGAGCCTCTTGGAAGACGCGCCCAAAGGCAAGGTGACCCTCAACCCGGCCAAAGTGCTCTGGCGCGTCCGGTCGTACGCCATCTCGGTCGTCCTCGCCTTCTTCCTCTCGCTCGCCGTATTTCCCGTGCTCACGTCGGCGGTCGTGTCGTCGAGCAGCAACAAGACGTTTCGAGCGCTCTTCACGCCGCTCACCTTTGTCCTCTTCAACGCCGGCGACCTATTCGGCCGCATTGTTGCTGGCGTCGGCCCGCACCTGCTCTCGGGGCGCGGCCTCGTCCTCTTGTCGCTTCTTCGCCTCGGGTTTTTGCCGCTTTTGGGCCTGTGCCGCCTACAGGCAACAACGCCGACGCACGTTGTCTTGGACCACGACGCGTACCCGCTGGTGCTCATCTTCCTGTGCGCGTTCTCGAACGGCCTCGTCGTGAGCTTGGCCATGATGCAGAGCGCGCACAGCGTCGCGCCCCACCAACGCGCGCTCACGGGCGCCCTCATGTTCTTTTGCCTCACGTTTGGCCTCACGCTCGGCGCCTTAGCATCCTTCTTGACCCATGCCTGGCTCGTACCGAGCTCATAGACAGCCTCAGACCTAGAAGCTCGTGTGTATACTTGTCAATCAAGAATCATATTCTGCCCTGCAGAACCTTATTCGTACCGGTACTACCAAGAACTGCGACTTGGACGCCAAGGAGCCGACTACACCTGCACCACAATTCTCGCCTAAGAGCCCGAACTGCTCGATTTTCTTTGGCATCTTTTTAGCTCCATAGGAGTCGCCGCGGAGTATTTACGTCGAGCGCTATCTCTGTCCGCCTCGATATGTCCCTCAATTGAGGACACGATGCAGAACGGCCGACCAAGTAGTCATGGCCTTGGTCCGACGGTATTACTACGTAGTATCTGGTTTTCAATGATCCAGTCTAATACAATAGACGACGGTTCACTTCAACAACAAGCAACTGCCTGCAAGATCGACGGCGTACTAGTAGATAAGAGAGTTGACACGCTTGGGGATAGGTTAGGGGTAGATTACCTGTCGATGGCAACTTGGCGCATGCAATGTAAGTGTGTGTTTACACGTTAGTGGCGTTGGACTAGACAGCTATGCATTCTCGACGGGTGTTTGCACGGTCAGAAGTTTAGCAAAATGGACTATAGAAACAAAGCCGAAAATGCCTCGACGTTTCCGACGGAAGTGTCTGGAGTGGCAAAATATATATCAAAGGCAGCGTTAACTTAGTGGAGCGGGTCTTGCTGATGCGACAATATTATAGACATACTGTCCTGCTGCTCTCAGAGCAAGGCGCGCTCGACAAGCTGCGTGAGCCGGCGCTGGGCAAAAGGTGTGAGGGCCCCGGCGTCCACGACGGGCGCCGAGAGGTGCGGCACTTCAGCCGCGAATGCGTTGGAGGTTTCCTTGACGATCGCCGTGAACCGATCGCGCGTCAAGCGTCCGTCGCGCAGCCGAGGGTACACGAGCTGCTTGACAAACTGCACGATGACGTCGCAGTACGGCAGCGTCTTGAGCGCGGCGGACGGTGACTTTTTATGCGACGAGGATGGCACCATGGGTGAGATCACCGGCAGCGCAATCATCGGCGGCGGCGGGCGGCGCACGACTGCCGACGCTGGCGCGACCGGCTTGGCCACCAGCTGCTTCCATTTGTCCAAGACGGTGCGCGCTGTCGCCTGGCATGGGCCCGCGTCCTTTGTGAGCTGGAGCACCAAGTGGCCGAGTCCGTCGCTCTAGTGCGTCGTTCAGTGGTCGTCCGTCGCAGAGTCGCATCGCTACCTGCTTGAGATGCTCCTTGGCTATGGGCAGCTTGGCCAGAAGCGTGAGGAGCCCGTCCATAACGTGCTGGTGCTGAGGTCGGCCCGGGCCATACGGCGACAGCCACGATTTCAGCAGCGGAAGCACCTGCCACTCGAGCACTTGGCGCTGCTGCGCGGGGTTGAGCGCTTCGAAGAACGACTTGACCTGCGGCAAGAGACGCAGTTTGGCCGCCGCGGGCACATTGTAGACGGCCGTCGACGCGTCTTTGGCCTCGGCCAGCTGCATCGCGTCACGCAGCGCTACAAACTCGGATCGAAACGACGCTTTGGGCGCCGACGCAGCCGCCGCGGCGGGCGGCGGCTCGCGCACGATGGGCATTGCGTGCGGCGTGAGCGTCATCATTTGACGCGCCCGCGCGCTCTCCGCCCACATAGCGTCCGTCTCACGCTTGCGCTTGAGCGCCGCGGTGGCGGGCGGCAGCGGAACTGGACGCGTCCGCTCGAGAATGCGCGCGGCCTCCTCCTGCATGCGACGCATCTCGGTCGACGCGACCGACCGCGGGTGGTACGCGGGCTCGGACGAGTAGTACTGCGACACTTCGCGCTCAAACGGCAATGGCACGCGCTGGCCCCGACGCACGCCGAGGCGGGTTTCCAGCGGCGTCCGTCGGCGCAGTGGTACCGATCGGCGGGTGCGACCGCTGCGCGACGCGCGCAACGACGCCAACGTCGTGGCCTCCCGGCGCGCCGACGACCGCCGGTGCTCGTGCTCGGGGCAAAACCAGCTCTGGGCCGGGACGCCTGGCAGTCCCAAGCACAACGTGTGGCACGCTACCTCGCAGTTGTCGGCGTCGCAGAGCAAGAGCGACTCTTCGCTGTCGCCGTTGCCGCAGAGCATGCAGGCAAACTCGTTGAGAAGATTGCGCGCGTGCGACAGGTCGGCGCTCGCATCGTCGCTGTGGACCTGCTTGGCGTGCTTGATGGGCGTCCGCTTCGTGATGACGCCATGGACGTTCTTTTGCACGATGCTCGTAAAGCGCGTCTTGCACATGGGGCAGAGGTTCGTGACCTTGGCCCACTTGAAGATGCACTCAAAGTGGAAGCAGTGCACGCATTTGAGGAGGTGGCCCTGCGTCTCGAGCGGCACCGCGTCCAAGCAGATCGAGCACTATCGATAGCACCGGGAGCCATGAGAAGCTTGTGCTTCACGTCATCTAGTAGCGTCCTGTACCATCTCGTCGTCGGCGGCGTCTTCATCGTCGTCGTCGAGGTCGGCGAGGTCGGCGGGCTTGGACATCGCATGACCCGGTGGCGCGGGCTTGGCCTCGTCGTCGTCGTTGCCGTACTCGTCGAGAAGACTGTCATCGTCGTCGTCATCGACCATGTACGAGAGGTCGATCGGCGCTGCGTGTGTGCCCATGCTGCTGCGACGGCGGAGGAAGATGCTGCGGCTGGTAGCACGGTCAAGATCCGGCAATCCAGCCTGTTCTTAAATTCGCCGAAATCAAAGGTGACTGGATTTCACTATCAAATTAAAAAAGACCAATTCGGCGCTTGTGATTGGTCCGAGCTCAACAGCAATCTCAAATGGCGACGACGAGCGTCGTGGTCCCGCGCCTGTACCGGTCCGCTTCTGCTCTGTCGCCTCGCCGTCGCCTCATCTGTACATGACCTAGCGCCCTCCTACGGCTGGCCAAGACGTTCCATGCCAATGAGATTGCCGACAAGTCCATCTACGCCGGCGTGCGCTCCGGTGGCCTCCTGCCCTACGACGGCGTCCAAGAAGACTGGAAGCGTGAGCAAGGCTTTCGCCTGCACCTTGACGTGCTCTCGCCCACGGACGTACAGGCGATGGCGTGGAAGGATGTTGTCGCAGCGATCCACCTCAAGTTTGCGACGCCATCGCGCCTCGCGGATGCCGAGCGCATCGACCGCGGCTTCTCGACGCTGCGGGCGCTCGGGGACCACAATGCACTCATTGAGCTCTGCGTTTCGAACGGCGCCTTCACGCCCAAGGTACGTCGCTCTGTCGAGTCGACGAGGTGCTGAGAGGGACTAGCGCCGGATGCCGACGATGCGCTTCAAGGTCGGCGACGTCGTCGACGTCCAGGGCCTCGGACGGGGCGTGATCTGCAACTGGTATTACCCGACGCTGAAATACATGGACAAGAAGACAATCAAGATCAAGTACACGGTGCTGCTGCACACGGACCGCACGAACGAAGAGTGCGCTTGCATGTCGATGGCGTCGACCAACAACTGGTGTGTAGGGATCGCTGGAAGATGTACCGCGTGACCCAGGAGCGTCTGCACATGGCCGAGATTCCCGAGGTATCGCTCGTATAGCTGCTCGTATCTGGATCGAATTGCGTAGCCCATTTCGAACCCGTCGCTGCTCTTCTACTTTGATGGGTTTGAGCACGGCCGGCACGTGCCGTCGCACGCGCTGGCGCTGCGCTTCCCGGACGACGTTGATGCTCATCCTGCTCCGGTGCTGCCCACCATCATGCAGCTCCAGAGCGCGGACGAGAGTCTACTGACGCAGTACCTTCGCAGCGCCGACACGACCATTGTCCGCTTCACCAAAGTGGCGCTCGAGTCGATTTGGCTCAACGAGGCCGGCGAGGTCGCCAAGGCCGCGCTCGACGACGCAATGGCCGTGTACGAAGGCGGCGCCGTCGACCAAGGCAAAGCCATTTTGCACGACCTCGTCGAGACGTATCCGGACTGGGCGCCGGCCCTCGAGAAGCTCGCGATGGCGACACTGGCTGACGGTACGCTCCTTGCCTCTACCCTTCGCAGATGTTGATATATACGTGGAATGCAGAGCATTTTGCCGAAGCCCAAAAGCTCTTTCAGCGCGTTTTGGATCTCAAGCCGTGTCACTTTCGCGCGCTCAGTGGCCTCGCGACGTGCGCCGTGCGGCAGCGCGACTGGACGCTCGCGCACGACACGGCAGCCAAGCTCATTCGGCTCGAGCCCGACTCGGTGATCGCGCGCAAGGTGCTCACCAAGGTCGACGAAGCCTTGTACCACTTGCTATAGACAGTGACCAGTCCGCCCTTTCTACATTTCCCCTTAGACGCGCTCTCGATTGAAATCATTTTCGTTTGATGTACGTTTGTGGTGGCCGTAGAAGAGCTACGCTGTCAAACACTGGCAGTGCCGAGGAGCCCTTGCCGTAGACTCCACCTGTTCGAGCTTCCTAGTCATAAATTTAGCTCTCCCGTTGCCTGGCCGGGCCTGGCCAACAGAACACGTTTGCACGCTACATTGCACCGCAACCGAGTGGCGGTGGAC